GAAAATTAATATGAAATACTTGTATGTGACACTTCCAACCCTCAGCCAAAAATAGGCAATCAACTTTAAATGGAGTAGTTTGCATTAAGTATTTTAAGAGTATCAGTTGGTACTAAGACCCAAAGCTGAAACGCTGTGAACATAAAAGCCCACCACTGACCCAGTCTTGAGTCTGTTCAATTTAGTTTTCAACATCATAGTATATGCCCAACATAAATTACATTTTTTATCCTGAACTTCAGAGATTGCAGACCAAAATACCAAATAAACCTGTTGCCCTTCTAATTCAAGATAAATGCAAGAACCATTAAAGTCTCTTTGAGCTTCAATTATAACATTTTAAAACCCCAATCTTTCTCCTGTCAACTTACTGATCGAAACCACTCCTACCATAAAATCCTCTTCAATTCATGTCCTGCAAATCCAGAGACATGAGTTCCTTATGTCTCAAACATTACATGCTATTACAAGGGCTCAACAAGCACACTGACCTACTTGTCCCTGACAAATGAAACAAAAAAGCCAGTAAGTGCTGCTGCTGTGTTAACACACAAATTTTGTGCAGAGAAAATGGTATTTATGTCAACCTTAAAAGTAAACAGTGGTAACTCCAAATTAGACTCTTAGATGAGATCTAATTATCAATAGAAACAGGTAAGCCCTCTCAATTAAATTAGAAGTTTAAAATACAAACAGTTTGTCTCAATTATTATTTACAATAAAGGTATAGGTACATCCAGCTGTCTACTGCATGTTACTACTATTCAGTTGAGGTACAGATGTATTGGCCCTTTATTATTACCACCAGTTGCCCGATCTATATATGGCCAGTCAGAGTATAACAAAAAGGAAGAAAATAATAAGAGAAGAGGTAATAATCAAACATTTCCACACATTCACCTCACATGGTGCTGTACAAAATCAGTCTCCCACCTCTGCAACATGGGTCGGTCTCTACTGGGTGGAGACATGAGAACATCGTACTCTTGTGCTGGGGCTCTGCAAATTCCTAAACTGCTCACAGATGTTGATGACCCATGTCTTCTTGGACCTGAAACAACAAAAGACTTGTGTAGGAAACCGAGCAGCATGATAACAAAATATGTAAGTTGAGAAATGGGTATATTCAATGTATGAAACTACACAAAACACATATACTTGATACCCTTAACCTTTCGAATCAGATTGACGTACTTCAGCGTAACATCATAAAGAGCTATACTTGATACCCTCAACCTTTCGAATCAGATTGACCGTACTTCAGCGTAACATCATAAAGAGCATCTTACAGAAGAACAAGATAGTAATGAAAAGACATCAATTGGACAGATTTTAAGAAGAAAAGTTGTAAGGAAGGGAGGTAGATGGAACCAGTTCAGAATGGTCTTTGGTATTAAGAGACTTAAATATTTGGATTCTGCTACCATAGTGGTAATGGTGGTATGTCACTGCCCCCCCCCCCCCACAACTCTGACATCAACAGGACCATTAGCAAATGTGCAAGGAATGTTCCACTATGTTTATATTTCCTAACTTGTTTGTCATGATGCCTAACATGTCGGATGTCTACAGTCATCAGGTACTCACATCTAACTAATCAGTTTCCTGCACCACTGCTGACTAGTGTCATAGCCACAGATATAGGAAACAGCCTACTACACATCATAAACATGTTAGGGAGTTATAATACAAGGAATGTTGAAACGCTTTTTACAGCAAACGAAGTCCGCAATAAGATGTTGTTTACTCACCATGATACGAGGACTGCGCACTGGACAGTGTACTCTCACTACAACCTCTACTCAGCACAGCACTGCTTCCTACCCGACGTCCGAGTCGCCACCGCTGCACCAAATAACGCATACGGGACAGCGCAATCATGACTATTGCTGCCGTCCTGAAACATGACAACCATGCAATGACTTCTTAAATTTTTAACAAGCACAGATGGAAAAGACTAAGGAAGAATAAGGATTGAAATAATTAGAAAGCATTTAAAAATAAAAACTTTGGAAGGTAAATTAACATATTACAGTATGGGCATGTTTTAAAAATGAATGAAGAGAGAATCCCAAAGAAGGCCTTGAATATGAAAGTAAAACACTGAAGAGGGAGGCTGAGATCAAGCTGGGAACAAATTAGGAAAGATGTCAGACAGGATAGAAAAACATGGGACGAAGAGTATCAAGGCAGAGACAGATGGAGAGGCTTGGTTGTTAGACAATCCATATAAAATGTAAACGCCTCAGGAAGAAGTTGACATAATATCAGTCTGATGAATAACTGACAGTATTAACTTAAAAATTAAAAAACTTACTTAAACCTTGTCCTTGGTTTTTTCTGAGACACAGAATGCTGCTGGTGAAGCATGGCTTCTTGTACACCAGACAGGTGAGCCAGGCGACTTACAGTGATTGCTTCTGACTCTTGATACCCACCAAGAACAACTAGAAGATACCTCTTCTGCCACACTAGAGCCTTACGATAGCTCTCTGACCGTAGATACTTTCCAAACAAGTGTTTCACCTGCAGAGGCATGTCTTATATTAATTAAGCTTTCTTTGATCCAAAATGCAACATAACATAACTGTCCAAAACTCCCCTCAAGCACCTACATGGCGTACAGTGGAACAGCTTTAGAACAGCTTTACTTTACTTTGTAAAAGATATTCTATAGAATTTATTTTACTCTGTAAAAGATATTCTATAGAATTTATTTAACAGTGTTTACACTATAACTTCATAATGTATGGTAAATTGCATTTCATTTAAAAATGAACAGACTGATACTTCCAGTAAAAACCATCACCTTGAAACATGTGCCAAAACACATTAGCCTCTTAAAAGTAAGAACATGGAAAAACTCACTCTATCAGTGATGTCAGCACCTTCACCTATTCTAGAACCATGAATGGCATCAGCTTCAGCTTGAGCCAATGCCAATTTGAGTGCAGCTTTCTCCTGTGCCCATAAAGTTCTCTCTGCAGCAAATTCCATGTGTACTGAATCCATTTCAGCGGGTACCTCAAATGAGATAAAACACATCTATAAGATGCTATACAGCATGAGCATCTGACAGCATCATTAAGTGTGTCATAAAATAAAATAAGCAAAGGTTATTTAATGATATTGTAAGTTTTATGTGTATGGAATAAAAATTCATAGTAGTTCAAAATGTATACATACACATGGAAAATTTGTGCATCAACAGGAGTATAATATAACATATCTTGGAGCAATAGGTTGCGAAGTTACAAACAGGACTGAAATTGTTCAGGATATGGTTCAAAGGTACATATTTAAGTACACTACACATGCCAGTGGACAAAAACTAGGTCCAGGTCAACCCAGTTTACACAAAAAATGATTAGATTTGCAACAAAATAGTGTGTGCACACGTGTATGTGTTCTCTCTCTCTCTCTCTCTCTCTCTTTCCATCTATCTATCTCTGAAACTCTAGTATCCAGCTATGCATCCATACAGCATCACAACCCAGAAGAAAAACACCAACATATTCACTGCTGTGAGAACTTTAAATCTCAAGTTTTGACACAATGTTTCTATAAATTCTTATGTCTAAAGCGGGTAGTTACTAATCACATAACAGAAACTTCAGAAATTCCCCTTATATATAAATTTGTTCAGAATCCAATATTTTAATGTCATTAAAGAATAACTAATGTAAAATGCTATTAAGGGTTAGAGCAAAGTAAAGCCACCTGTCCTTACCTGTGACCTACGTGCAGTCTTGAGCTGCTCTTCCAGTTCCTTAATTCGGGCCTGAAGGCGTTGGCGCTCCCCTGTTAGCCGAGAGAGTGTAAGGGCTACTTCTGCATTTTCGGTCACATGTTGCTCCAGCATCACATTCACATTCTGAATCACGGGTATAGTTATATCATGCCACACTTTCATCATAACATTTTTAAAATAAAAGTTTAGAACACTATGCATTACTGGAAGAAGGTTCAGACATTTCAGAAGAAATGACCACCCCATTTCAGGGTATAAATGAAATGTTGGACGCTTCCGTCAATAATATACGACCCTACAACTCAGAAGACTAAACTGGTATACACTGGTGCACTAGTTTATTTTTTGTGACAAAAGTTCAAAATTATTGCTCCCATAACATATCTGAGTATTAGCATGTTATGTTTTTTGAGAAAACATGTGAGGAAATGTATGCATAGTGTAACAATTCTGGCAAGTTAATCAGAATTTTACATTTGTGAAAGGCTGAGAAATTCCCTACATGGGGATTCCTAATAAAGTAATTTCCTAGGTGGGGATTCCACAATTCTGCTTGCAGAAATGCATCCATGAATGTGACCATTACTGTTGTCTGATTTTAACAAAAATTGGAATTTAGTGACTCATTTTAGAAAAGTTCCCCAATATCAAAGTCTGTGGAAATTTGTTCAGCAATTTTTATGTTGCCATACAACAGACAGAAAGATGGAAAAATTGACAGATAAAGACATTTTTAATATGTGCTCTACAAGGATGCAAATGCACATAAAGCACTATCTTTAATCCAATGATCAAAAACTCGGACCAACAGGCAGAAACACAGTTAATGTTCTATTACAGGAAGTAATTTTAGACACTGCCTGATGCTTACCTTTAGCTTCTCCAGAACAGGAGATGGAACATCAGGTGAAGAAGATAACTCCCTGGATATCCTCTGTTCCCTAACTCTGCTGTTTTCTAGATCCTGCTTTAGTTTCTGCACTTCCTGCCTCAGTTCAGTTGTTTCCCGATCCAATCCTGCACCTACCACCTGCTCGTTGCTTTCCAGAAGTTGCTGTGTAAGCTTGGACACTTCCTGCTCCAAGCTCACTATCTTTTGCTCCAGGTCAAACTAACATAACAGTAACCTCACACAGAAATTTGCAAAGAAATCCTCTCTATTATAATTTGTAGCTAATAAGACTAATCCTTGAAGTTGATGATGATCATGATGACAAAGACAGTTTTGTTTTCCTAAGCTGATTAAGCTTTGTCATGGATTTCTTCAGTGTCACCTAATCATTTATTATCACTTTCATCATCTCATTCAAAGATGTATAAATTCTGCATTTGAAATAAGATCATTAAAGAGTCTAAGAATGATGCAACAAAATTTCTGAAATATAAAGTTTAACCTTCAATATACCTGTAAACAAACTGTGAGAAAAGTACTGTTAAAGAGGTCTACAATTCCTCACACCTCATCTTTGCAAAATTTAACACGAGAATTTACTTTATCTATGACAAGGTTTGATGTTGCTATAAGAATTTACTTTATATCTATGACAAGGTTTGATGTTGCTATCACCATGTACATCAAGGATTTGGATTGCTATAGCTAACATAATAGTGAGGACCACATTTTCAGCACAAAGTAACCTGCTTAAATAAATACTAACCTGTAATAACTGGGCTTTCTGAAGTTCCCGCCTATTTTTATCAATTTCCTCCTGATCCAACTGTTTTTTTCTCTGTCTTCGAACATCTGTTTCCTTCAGCACACGAACCTTCCTCGCCATGGCTTCCATTTCAACATTCCTAAGACTCACTTGCTCCTGCACATGAACCAGCTGGAAATATTATAAAATGTAAGTACAGAGTTGTTTAGTTGGACACCTGTACATATATATATATATATATATAGAATTCAAAAGTCAGTCACAAAGTACAAAACTTACAGATAAGTACAATCCGAAATATTAAATAGGTTTCACAAACAACAGAGGTTAGTAAAAATATGAAAATGTTACACTAAATCTACCGCTATACAGCAGATGTGTTAATGATGATGGTGGTTTACAATGTAAAGAAACAATAAACTGTAAGAAGATTATAACTGTAGGAATTCATCAACAGAGTAAAAGGTGTGTGTATTTAAGTTATCTTTTTAATGCTATATTATAAAACGTAAAGTATAAAATTTTTAGTCTAAAGATTTGTGACAAAGATGTGTTATTAAAGTGATACATGACACAATTCATGTTACCTGTGCGCTGAGACTGTCCCGCTGTCCTTCTACAGTTAGCAACTCTCTCTTTAGCTGTTGGATTATTCCTTTCTCTATTTCTATCTTCTGCTGTCCCAGTTGCTTCTCCTTCTCCACTGAAGATTCCAGCTCCTCTGCTTTCTGTTGTACCCTTCGCAACTCCAACTCGAGTTTTCCACATCGCTCTTTCTCTAATACCAACTTAACCTAAAATTTAACACGTAGATATTTATTCAGTCTTGAAAGAAGACACCACACCAACATCATACAAGACAATAAGAAGATCCATCACGACACAAAGTTTATTGTCTGGAAATGTTTTTGAGGCTTGTTGCATAGAAACAATTGTACCATAACTTTCTAGCACAGATCAATAAATTAATAGTATTACATTACCCTAATTAAAAAAAATAGTATCATCCTAAATTTGGTATCACTATCTTAATGACTTATTCTCATATTAAAGTTGAACTTGTGAAATATTTTTGTTTCTAGATGTTTCAATTAAGTTTAACCTGTTGATATTTCACTTTGAGTATCCCTGAAAACAAAAAATTAGTAAAGTGCTAGTATAGTGGTCTACAATTCCTCACCTCACTTCACCTATACAGAATTCAATGACAAAACCCACTTTATCTATCTCAAAAATTTATTTTGCCATGATAATGTAAAAAAAAATACTTTGGGTTGCTATATATATCATGACAGTGAGGACATCACACTAGGTGTGGCTAAACAAACAGTGTCATGTTTAAACAAATACCAACCTGTAAAGACTGGGCTTTCTGAAGTTCCCGCCTGTTTTTATCTATTTCCTCCTGATCCAACAGTCTCTCTTTCTGTCTCTGAACTTCTGCTTCCTGCAGCACACAAACCCTCCTCTCCATGGCCTCCATCTCAACATTCCTGAGACTCAGCTGCTCCTGCACATGAATCAGCTGGAAATATTTAACGTAAAGTACAAAATGTTTAGTCTAAAGATTTGTGACAAAGATGTGTTATTAAAGTGACACATGACACAATTCATGCTACCTGTGCGCTGAGACTGTCCCGCTGTCCCTCTACAGTAAGCAACTCTCTCTTTAGCTGTTGGATTATTCCCTTCTCTATGTCTATCTTCTGCTGTGCCAATTGCTTCTCCTTCTCCACTGAAGATTCAAGTTCTTCTGCTTTCTGTTGTTCCCTTTGTAACTCCAATTCCAGTCTTCCACATCGCTCCTGCTCCAACTCTAACTTAACCTAAAATGTAACATGTATATACACACACAGTCTTGAAAGAAAGGACAAAGTGCACTAGCATCACACACGATATTAAATAGCTCCATCACCACACAAAAACCTGTCTGCTGGAAATGTTGTTCTTTATAAGGTTTGTTTTCAACATCAAACACTTAAAGTTTATTGCATAGGTACTACTGTACCATAATATCCTATAAGAGATGAATAAATTAATAGTATTACAATCCCCTAATTTAAAATATCGTAACATTCTTAATTAGGAGTTACTATTTGAATTATATTTATTCTCATATTAAAGACAAGCATGTGCAATATTTTTCTGCCTAGATCCTACAGTTATTTTCAAAATATTTTCCAGTGCAAACTGTAGAGATATGAAAAAGTACAAGATACAGTGAAGGATGACATCAGTGAAACTATAGTAATATTTCGTACTATGATGTTAGAGACAGAAATAAATAAATTTACTTTCAAACACAGACAACACTATGTAACTGTCAAAATAACAGTAAAATAAATAAAATAAATGCAGTAAAACACAGTATCCCATGCCTTAAAAATAAATGACAATTATTCACACAACCAAAGGATATTGTTCAGTGTCTAGGTAACTTATGGAACATACTTAAACAAGCTACAACTGCCTCATTCCTAATCCTTACCTAATAATACATTACAAATTCATCTCATTCAGTGCTGTGTGACTTCTGCATTTGACATAGCAAAATAAAATAACCTAACAATCATGCAATCACATTATTGAAAGACTGAGTTTAATCGCTCCTATTTCAATGAGCATCCCTGGAAATATATAGTGAGAAAAGTGATACTATAGCATCCACAATTCCTCACCTCATCTATATAAAATTTAACATGAAAACTTATTTTGTCTATCAGAATGTTTGATTCTGCCAACACTACATAAAGAAATCTTTGATTTTCTACATGTAACACATCAGTGAACACCTCATTGAGTGTGGCTAAACAGTGTCATGCTTAAACAAATACCAACATGTAACGACTGGGCTTTCTGAAGTTCCCGCCTGTTGTGCAGTCTTGAGCTGCTCTTCCAGATCTTTAATTCGGGCCTGTAGGCGTTGGCGCTCCCCTGTTAGCCGAGAGAGTGTAAGGGCTACTTCTGCATTTTCGGTCACATGTTGCTCCAGCATCACATTCACATTCTGAATCACGGGTATAGTTATATCATGCCACACTTTCATCATAACATTTTTAAAATAAAAGTTTAGAACACTATGCATTACTGGAAGAAGGTTCAGACATTTCAGAAGAAATGACCACCCCATTTCAGGGTATAAATGAAATGTTGGACGCTTCCGTCAATAATATACGACCCTACAACTCAGAAGACTAAACTGGTATACACTGGTGCACTAGTTTATTTTTTGTGACAAAAGTTCAAAATTATTGCTCCCATAACATATCTGAGTATTAGCATGTTATATTTTTTGAGAAAACATGTCTTGTTGTCCCTCTACAGTAAGCAACTCTCGAAACATAAAGTATACAATTTCTAGTCTAAAGATTTGTGACAAAGATGTGTTATTAAAGTGACACATGACACAATTCATGCTACCTGTGCGCTGAGACTGTCCTGTTGTCCCTCTACAGTAAGCAACTCTCTCTTTAGTTGTTGGATTATTCCCTTCTCTATTTCTATCTTCTGCTGTGCCAATTGCTTCTCCTTCTCCACTGAAGATTCAAGCTCTTCTGTTTTCTGCTGAACTCTTTGTAACTCCAACTCCAATTTGGTACCTTGCTCCTGCTCTAACTCCAGCTTCTGCTCCAACTCCAGCTTACCCTGATATGTACCAAAAAGATGATATAGGATCTTCCAAAGTAGTCAGGCATACCAGCATCATCTTTCTTTAAAAAAAAAGCCTAACACAAGGTTTTTCTACTTAATCACCAAGTCCTCCTTGTTCAGATTTTAATATCCATAAAAGATAAAGATATTCCTGTAACCTATGATTCCAGAAAACCTTGCATATAATAAGTATGCCCACTGTGCCACAGTACACACTATCACATCTTCCTTTCATCTTTCTGGACACATTTTGAAATGCTGTAAAATGTCTCAAAATTAAGATTGAATTATTTTTAAAAAATCATGCGACTGTGTCACAGACATAAATATCAAAGCTGTAAAAACAAATAAAAAGTTCAATCTGAAGAAGAGTCACATGAAGTCAGTGTAAGGAGAATGTTGTAATAACAGAGGTGCTTACGGCCAATTGGTTCTTCAGTGACATTATTTCAGAGTCCTTCTTGTTCAATATTGTTTTCAAGTAGCTGTTATCATGATCTACTTCTGATCCTGAAAAAACTTCACGTGGGCTAGTATAAAGCTGGAACAAAACATAAACTCTATTACCAACAAAAATATTACTGCTCCAATCATGCTGAAATCTGTATGTACCAATCCCAAGGTTCAATAACAGTTAACTAGTAAACAATGAAGTTAAAATGTTATATTAAGTTCACTGTTACAGTAATGGTTCATGTCAATTTGTCCCCTACAGGCTTCAGACCTTCTCTCATTAATAAGTTGACTCAATATGGTTGACAAAACAGAATCTCAGTGTGCATATGGGTTTACTAACTTTGTGGTACCCTGGTATTACACATGTGAAATGGGTGGCATGAAAGAAAGAATTCACACTCTTCTGGTGTCAGGTTTTAGAAATGATGATGGATGTATAGGTATGTCGTTGTGCTGTATCAACTGCAGAGAATAAGTTGTGGCAGGTGAGATGTGTGCAAGGGTAATCATGAATGAGAAGTAAAAAGGAATTTTGATGGAAGGAGTTGTTGAAATATTCATTTCAACTTTGTGAATTGCTATGCCTTATACTTCACTTAAGATTTTACCTTCTGGACCATATATTTTTCTTAAGTTAATAGAGTTTTCACTCTACTGCTCAAATAATTGACTTGTGGTTTGCTCATAAGTTTGATTTATACACAATTTTAATTATCCAGTATTGAAATAATGAACTTTCTGTATAATCACTGTTCTTTTAAAGCACAGACATAAATCAACAGACTATAACTGTATGACAGAAAGAAGACACTCAATAACAACCGCACTCACCACATCATCTCTATCGAGACTCAGAAATCCTTCAGTAATGTTTGATTTGTGGAACCTCATCTCATCTCGTGGACCAAACATACGCTCCATCTGACTGCTCCTCTGAAAATGTCCAGAAATTTAAGTCTACCACAATCAAAACCCCTGTTTCTCCCACTTTCATATTGTTCTGAGAATGAGAAATTGCAGAATAAGAACAATATATAAATGACTAACAGAATAACACTTTATTTAAAGCATGGCAGCAGAACTAAAGGCTCCAAAATCACGGTATCCAAATTCTTATGTTTCCAAGACATTTCATCAAAATGTTTTTGTCTATAACAATTAGTCCACTCTTCTACATCCACAATCATATGTCCATTTTGTCTTAGGATAAGTCACTTGTTTGTCCTCAAACATTTTGTCAAATATTTTTTTGTCCAAAGTTATATGTCTCATTGCGCTTATCTCACTAAGAATTTGTTACTGTTCTTCAGATGGTGAAATTACATCTCACAATAGTACTAAAGAAAGAATAAACAATTGCTGACTATTGCAGTAATGTCTATGATGTAACTGAACTGCATCTGTTTATCCAGTTAATTCTGAAGAGATTAAAATTATGACACATACAAATATAATAACATCAGTTGAAATAATAGCTGTGTTCAGAACAGTACCAATACTTACATGGAATGTCATCCTTCCACTTTGCGTTTTCTTTTACAAAATGACAGCTAACACTGTAACTCAGATGTAAGAGCAGTGCAGTCTCACTGTTGCAACCAGTGGGACTAACATTAACAGAGTTTTTAGTATTTAAGGAGTTAAATCAAGAAGCATGAAATGAAAATTCTTCTGTAACACTTTTCATCCTTCTTATTTTATTTAATTCCTTAGAAACTGAAAGACAAACATGTAAATGACTTTTGAGGTTCTCATGGCAACAATTATGAACATGTAAGACTTGAGGTTCTCACAGCGGTGAGTATGAAGATTTCCGTCTGAATATCACCCTGATGACGGAGGCAGTATGACCTCTGAAACGTTGGTTAATATCAACCAGACTACACAGCGCAACAACCCAGAAGACGTAAATCTTCAATTATGAACATATTGCTCTGATGATGGAGGCAGCAAGGACCTCTAAATCATCAGTAAACTTCTACCAGACTACAATCCAGAAGACAGCCATCTTCATGTATATGACTTCCACCAGTTCTATTTAAATAACAGAGAAAGAGAGCACCCTTTACCTCTAACACACGTTTCTCTGCCTTCAGCTTCTTGCAGGTCTCTGTGAGCTTCTCAATTGTTTCTAATTCTTCATTTGCCTTTGTATGCCATTCCTTTTCTTGTGCCATCATAATTCTTCTGGTTTCCTGAAGAGTTGTTTTCAACTCCTTTACCTAGAAAAAGATATCAGGGACACAATATATTTTATTTAAAACTGACAGTGACTGTACATAAGCACACATGTGCTGAAACTGGTCTAATGATAAATACAGACTATCAGTCATCACTGGAAGTAATTCCTCAGAGTAACTGACTCTACCAAGTATAACACTTATAACATGGTTTGCATATTTTTAGTACAAAATATAATAAACTCTGAGAAATGGCAGAACAGATTTTCTGAAAACATTGTTCTAATAGAGTATATACAGGATGCACAAAGGAAGAAGTTAAAAGATGTAAGATCTGCAACTGACTGTTTTATCTGCAAAAGTGCTAATCACTTGTCTTCAATGTTTGGTTACACCTGAAACGTTCTTAATTGAATACATAAGACTACTTCATTACATGCCTCCTGGTCCCTGGTCTCTATTGTCTCACGGAGTCTGCTAAATTCCTTCTCCTGATCACAGACTTTTGTCTGCAGTTCTGAGTTTGCTTCTTTCTTCTGGCTGTCTGTCTTTTGACGCTGTTCATCCAATCGTGACTGTAGAGCTGAAATCTTGAGAAGCTGTTTTTCCATGTATTCCTGTAGGGCATCTCTTTCTGCAACCACATCCTGCAACAGTAACTCAAAAATGAAACTAATAATCATCCATCAATGTTTCCACCAGGTTTCCATGTTATGAGGTCATTCTCTACCTTTACTGATTCATGAACAAATAACACCAGTGGGATTTTGTATCTACCACAAGTCTACAAGTTATAAAGAGGAAATTACTAATACAACTCTATTCCCAAAAATGAAAGCATCAAGAACACATTACTTCTTCATTCTTCTTGACTCCCTTAAGCTGCATCTCTAGGTCTCGTATTCGCTTGAGAGCCACTTCCTCTGCTCTAGAGTGCCGCTGAAGCTTGTCTTGCAGTCGATGTAATTCATCCAGTGGCAAACAAACAGGAGATTGAGTGTTGCGTGCTTCTTCAGGAGTATCACATCGAAAGGCATCCAGTTGTTCCCTATGTGAAATGATCAAAATTTAAACTGAGTATCATTTTAAAAAAATTACAAATTATTAGCACATATACAGATGAGGTAATTTCTACAAATTACAGCTTATAAACAGATGTACTTTCTACAAATTACAGCTTATAAACAGAAATCCACAAAATAACCTCAACATAATGGTATAGTGATTCTTGTAAATTATCATTATAATCATCTTCTCATCACCATTAATTTATAATTACTATAGAATGAGTCTGATATGTCAGTGGCAACACATCTCGGAGACAAAAGACTAATTATTCCAACTGGTTTAATGCGGTTTTCCTTAGTCCATCCAGTCAAATACCAGGACAGTACCTTACAATAGTCCATGACCACATCCTTCCACATACCTCTCAAGTCACTATTCACAATCATCCTACAATATCTCACTTGATGCTACATAATTTAAACAACACAAAATTGCCCAAAAAACAATCATTATAACCAGTAAATTCAAAATGGTTTTGTGTAAATTAAGAGTAGAATTTGGAATCTGAATACAATCTTCACATATTTTTTATGCTCAAATAAAACCTTATCATAGGCATTTGTTAAATATTTATTTTATTAAAAACCTTCAAATAATTTGAAGCACATTAGGATGTCAATTAATTAATGCTTTCCGAAATAATCATACACGGTACACCGTATTAAACATAAGCCATCCACATGCTTTACCTCTTATGGGGAAAAAAAATCCCATAACAACTGAATCTTGCTTATTAAGTCCTCAGAAAAGTACAGAAATTTAACTGTGACAATAATTTTGTTTTGTTACACAGTGGCTTCAATTCAATCAGAAATCTTGCATTAACAGGTATAAACATTTCAGACCTTTCTTATCCAATGGCAACAATGTCTATGATTTATCCATAATTTAGTAACACTTCCTGAAATGCACAAATAATCAAGAAAATGAACCACACCTTATTGAAACATCTTCAGAAGGAGAACTGCAGCTGGCACTGGACACAGTGGCATGATATGATTCAAGGTCCTTGGTCTTCTTATCTACTGCTGCCTCCAAGTCCCTCAGCTGAAACAAAATTACGCATGAAGCAGTCACGTCAGTCAGTGGTCACTCAACAAGCACTTCCACAACATGAATTCTCATATACTATATCAGCGACAAATTTAATGGGAAACAAATGAAATTCAGACCAACACATTCCTTTATAAAATATGTCACACACCTGTGCCTTCATCTGCCGCAAGGCTGTAGAGTTTGAATGAAACTGCTCGACATGCAACCGATGTTTCTGCAATTGTTCTTCAAGATGGCTGATGTGCTCTGTCAATTCTGACTTGCCAGAATCCAATCGCAATGAGTTCAACTGTACATAAGCATAAAAAAGCACCCTATAAAACTGGAAACATTGTCTAGGGAAGTAATCCACAGTAACACAGGCCCTAATCCTCAAGATCATTACATTATATCTGAATTTTTGGTTAAATCATAAAACAGGCAGCTAGTTCATGATCTTCTCTTAACCAGTGTACCATCCATAGTCCCAAAGTTTTGACTTCTTCCCTTGCCTTTTAACTGTCTGGCCATGCTCTCAGCAAGATACAAATATTCTGCTGAGACAGAACTCTTCTTTCCATGGAGATCAAAATAAATGTGCCCTTTTGAGGAGTATTCAACAAGCCAACCTTGGTAGAATGTTACCAGGTAGACTTTTACATCATAGACTACCAGTATGTCTACATGTCTACACATGGATTTGAAAGGGGGGGCACATAGGGAGGTAGCAACCCTACTTATGTACATCAGTGAAAAACATATGATTAGGTTCAGTTAATTTAATTCCATTTTCAGTATTTTTTTCTGCAAATATGTACATGCATATGTTCCCAGTATCACAGAACTGAAATAATAGGTGGCACTTCATAGGGTAACATAAATTCATTCTTGCAAAGCTAATTAACATTACAGATATCACACTATAAAGATTCATAAATTCTGATGTTGGTGAAGCCAACATTACATAGAGATGTAAACTATTCTCTTTACATTCAATACTAATATAAAACATATTTAAATAAAAATTGTAGATCCTAATGAGACCATATTTTATGCTATGTCATAATCTCTTTCATATGATGAACCACTTTGAACAAAAATATTACAAATTTAACCCAAGCTTCATGTAGAGTAGAAATTATACTGGATTGATACAAATCAAATTGAAATTTATGTGGGCAACTTTAACTGTAAAAATTAAACACCACATTTCATTAATATTTGTTGAGTGGTTTTGGAGATGATATACAGATGGACAAATGCATAAAAGTTGTCACTCACTTCCTCTGCCAGTTCCTGATGAGTCCTACTCTGCTGTTCCAGTATAGCATGCAGCTCACACAACTGCTGTTCTACAGCAGCCTCATGTTGCGTCTTTGTCTCAACCTGACTCTCCAGTTCACCAATTATATCTCGCAACACCCAGATCTGTAAGAACAGGAGCTTCAATCTCAGCACAGAATGTACTCATAGACAAAGCTATAAAAATGTATACAATTATCTTTTATGGTGTTTCATATGACTTCAGAACCTATAATAACATCACAAGTTAATTTACAATAATTACTGCAAGACACATTACATAAACTCTCTCACACCTCAATAACAGCCACAATAAAGAAAACAATTTTTCTTTAAACCTTTAAGTGTTATTGTCAAATGTTTCATCACTATCCTAATCACACTGCAATCAAAAGTACAGTAAATCCCTGCATATGCAGGATGCAAGGTGCCTGGAAATGTCATAAACACATTTAGTAAACTTAAATATATCGAGGGGAATGCTGATTAGGAAAGTCAAAATAGAATTTATCTGTATGTGTTCATATTAAAGAAAGTATACTTCATATAAATAATACAGAAATACACAATTTAATAACAAGCATAAAATATTCAATTACCTAATGTAAAAGTGAGATTTATATTTTTGAGTTGTTATGATGCCCCTGCCAAGTTCAATGCCACTCAGTCTGGTACTGCATTAACTATATACAAGGGTAATTCAAATTAAAACAATTGTCTTACTATAAAATGAGTGTACTGTTTTACAGTAAAACTGATTCACATTACTTCTCAACAGTCGCATTGTTTTTCTCAATATATTTTCCGATGATCCACCAATGCCTTGATGGCATCATGGAAATAAGGTCTAATTGGAAGATGGCTGCCTTCTGGGTTGTAGTGCAATTAAAACCTCAAAACCTACCAAGGTCTGATTAGTCACACAACCAATTTCACATCACACAGCATACCTCTGTCATTTTTTTTTCCAAATTCTGCTTCCTAGGTTTTATCCATGAAAACATTCCTGTCACAAACTGGAAAGAATTAAACATGATTTCTGACAAAATATGTGCAGAATGATTAAAGAATGAAAGAAAGTCTCAGATTCTGAATTAAAGAGAGGCCTGCATAAAACAGAGAAATGTTCATGTCCATTGGTGTTCCCTTATGCCAGTACCTTGTCAACAGCAGCTTTCAATTCTGTTTCTAATTCTTCTCTCTTGATATCAAAGTCTTTCTGAAGAGCTGCTGCCTCTTTTACTTGCAATTCTAGTGACTCCACCTGTCAAAACATTACATCATAACGCACATGAGACACACATTAACAAATTCATTCATTGCAATACAAGATCCCGTGATTGAATGAGTGCTTGAGTTGTTATGATGCCCCTGCCAAGTTCAATGCCACAATGCTTGAGTTGCAGAAATTATCACTTATAAATATCACCAAAATTGATAGTTTCAATACAGAATTACTTTTAATAATAAACACTTTGCTGATGCACGAAGATAGCAAGGTATGTTAATGCATTATGAAAAAATTCTGTTTACTAATGAAATTAATTTCCATCATTACAGTGCAACTACAATACTGCTTATGACTCTTCAATTATATATATATAATTCCTGCTTCTATCCCCCAACTGCATAATCAAAACTTCCTGACAATAAAGTGTGCAAGTTTGTCAAAATTCTTCAATCTAGAAAACGTTTTTGACATAAATATGTCTATGCGGAAGTGTCATTCGGCAAAAAAGCGTAACGAAGATGTGTAACGAAGTTGTGTGAGATCCATATCAACAATGTATAAATATGGACCGACAACAATGGTCATCTTTTATATGAACTCCTGCGTGCATTGTTATGTTACCTAAGAAACTAATTGTTATGTCATCTGTTTCCTCGGCATTGTTGTGTTACATTACTGCCGTCAACAATCAGCTTTCGTTACTACGAAAAGAGCTGAGCTGTGAATTGCTTGTAGAAGTGCATCGTGGATTAGATAATTTTGTGCTGGTAAAAACGTTTTAGAATATCACAATACATATCTTATATAAGAATTATTACATTTCATTACATTACATTACAGAGACATATTTACGTCAGATTCTCCGGAACCGTGGTTCCACTGTCAACTTTTTCATACTTATTTTAAATTTACCTTTTCATCCAGCAATAAAACATATAATCAGAAATAGACTAGTCAGAATCAAGTTAAAACTGACTACAGTGAATATTAAATTTTTCTGAAGAGTATATATATATATATAGTGAAAAACAGTGTATACTCATCCTGAACTCTGAAGAACAAGAAATTGTCAGATGGTGGTATCATAGTTGTGCAAAGATTTCTGTTGGTAAGGTTTAATAAAACAGGTGTCCTTACTGGCAACAGATGACAAGATAAGACAAACCCCTGACAAGGAGTCATAATTCTTTTATATGACAATTTACTTAAAGTCGTCAAAGCAGCATACTTCTTATCACTCAAAGTTATGAAGAGTTTTCATTTGTTTGTGTGTAATTTAAAAGAATTCTGATTTCATCAATACATACAATTTTACATCTTTAACAAAACAAGCCATTCTGAAGCTGTTCTATAAACAGTAATAAATACATTTTACAGCACACTTTTATTCAATTATGGGGCCATAACTGTTATATGTGACAGTATAAACTATGCCCGTTCTCTAGGGCTTGAGATGAAATGACATGTATAATTTTCAACTACTCTATTCAGCACCTGACGAAAATACCCAGTGTGTCTAAATGTTTAAACATAACAACATCAATATAGTACTCCCATAAAAATAAAGTGTTTATAATTCTAAAAGCATTACATGCATGTTATTCGCATCATGCAAAACTATAATACAAGTTACTGGCTTGTGTTGAACAGTAACAACTAACAAAAAGCTTCAACATGGCCAATAACCTGTGTTTTTCTGACATACTCATGCAGCAAGAGTTTTCGTACACTCTGTAGCTTGTTACAGGATGGCCAACAAAATATTATGAGGGAATACACATAAAATCAATGGTTATTTAAAATGTATCCCACACAAAATATTAACAAGATTTTGGACTTCCTATATAAACTATCAACTAATTTACTCGATTACCAAGAAATTTATTTTCCTTTTACTTTACTAAGATCATCTAAATATTCATATTTAGACAGTTCCAAAAAGAAGAAAATGAATTAAAATAAACACAGGGAATCCTATGGTTATTTTCTGTGGGAAAACAACTAAGTGGAGAAACAGAGATGCCACATCTGTACTAATAGATCTACAAATAATTTCAGTATTTCAAGTTTGGTACTTTGCCTATGTAAAACACTAAATATAAAGTACCAGTACATTTAAAACAAATATATATTATAATAATTAATTCTCATTTCTCTGTATATTCATCTTAATGTTATCCTCCCATCTTATTTTTTGATCTTACAAGTGAGTGTTTTCCAACTAGTTTTCCCACCAAAATCTAGTTATATTTAAGTATTAAATGTTATTTCAGCTCATACAAAATTGCCAAGAGAAGGTAGTTCTGGTAAACTGTCTGCACATAAAAATGACAAGTAATTTTATGTGTGAAGTGTGAAATTGCCAAATCATTTATATACACTGTGCAAGTTTGTGCTAGTAACACAGATTCAAAATGATACAGTTTCAGACTACTAAAGTGTGGTAGTTAATTCTCTTTTCTTTCATTCATTGCACAGTGTTTTCTTCTGTTTCTTATACAAACAATAATACAATGTTCTCAACCAGTAACATCTAGGTGAAATTTCAGATTCTCAATGCAGCAAGTATGAAGATGACTGTCTTCTGGGATGTTGTCCCATGAAGTCTGGTAGAAACTGACAAATGTTTCAGAGGCTCTTATTGCATCTGAAACATTAGTCAATTTCTACCATACTGCATGGTGTAACATCCCAGAAGACAGTCACCTTCAGTAACATCTATTTTCAAAATTATAATATACAATATCATCAAAGTTCCTGTTCAAGCAACTTATGTAAAGCATACATATATTATTCTGATTCCCATTCAACTTTCTGAAACTCTCAATAATCTCAGCACATGCTGTTACCACAAACCGCAAAACAGATTCACAAACATCTTATCAAACCAAACACTGGCCACCCCTAAACAGCAAAGATAGCACAGAGTAGATTCAAACACTTGTTATAGCGGTGTTAGTTATAAGAACATGATGAGAAACTCACTGTCTGAATTCTGACGAGTTGCTCACTGCCCTCTAGTGCATCCTTTGTGCATGAGCAAACAGTTCAAGAAGAGACAGAGAGAAGGGTGGGGTGGAGGTGGGGTGCATGGTCAAGAAAACAAAAGATAAACAACAATTACTCCATCACCAAATCAGACAATGTTCAAATTAGTATGTAAATGCTAGTGTTCCATGATGCAAAACATACTGGAACAGGAGTAGCATTTTAAATCCTGATAATCTACAAATACAATTTTATATTTCCTCAGGTAATAGCCATCAATGGTTTGCCATCACATTTTTTAAATAGACAAATAGGATTATTTTATTTTTTGTAACATGCATAATAACAGAAAAAGATGTAAACCTACATTTTATTGAATCTGATGCAATTTAAAAGTGACAGGAAATGTGGACAAACTTTTCAAAATACAAAATGATTCAAGCATTAGTATATCTAGAATATAAATAAGATTTGCAGTCACAGCTAAGAGTGTTGGAGGTGGGGGGGACAATGGTAGACAATTTTTATTATGATTAAATTTGGCAGTGAAAGGAATCATCAGGCAGATATATAATTGCAGGAAGTTGAAAATGGATATTCTTATATATGTGACAGTTACATTCTAAATAAATGAAAACAATAAACTCTCAAGATGTTTTCACTTCAGGTATAAATTACATAAAGAGTAGTGTTCCAGAACTTTCAGTTACCAATATTTATATGTTCATTACATGAGCAAATACAGCAGAGTGCAAAGGCTTCTTATTTTAAATGTATTCAAACTACAAAGCATAACCACCCAGCAAGCAATCATTTCAATATAAATAGGGCACTGTTCCCATATTAATGTTAAATCAAACTATCTTCATAGACAAGGAAATATATCAGTACTGTACATATTAATTGAACATTCAACCAAAACAGAAAGAAATATATGGTATGCTGATAAAATGCAGAGTTAGGAAAAGGACAGTAATGAAATAAAGGGGCAAATAAGTCTTCATGCTAAAGTGGACATAAATATTCAAGTTCTTTCTCTGAAGTCCCCAAGGCACTTACAATTGAAAGACAAACACTTGCAGCAAGACATTTAACATCTTATACAATTTGCCTATGTAGTTCCAAGTCCCACAATTAAGACGAATTATTCTGCAACTGACCAAAGAGTTCACTTTAAAAGGCATTACTTCTAGCATAATTTCCATTTCACATAGGTCAACAAGCAATAATGCTGGTCCTACATGTAAAAAATATCTCGCAATAAACATATTTATGCTGGTCCTACATGTAAAAAATATCTCTGATATCTATAGAATGCAGGACAAACAGGTATGGTGACTCTAATAAGCAGTTTCTTTCAAGTAAATTAAGTTATGATACCTATAATTTATTCTTAATCAAATTACAGGATTACTCTGTGCATACACAAAAATATCAAACCAGCAATGTACTGGAGATATTTCTAACACTAAATTTGCAATCTAAACAGCAATATTGTGCAAACAGCTCTACATTTGTTACACTTTTTAGATGCATTTCTGGTGTACTTAAAAGATAAGACAACTTCTATAACGGTTGTTCTGCTATTTTTGTTCATTTGCCAACAAATTATTACATGTAATTCCGTATTAGAGTCTTTAACTAGTTAATTTTTCAGGCTGTATTCCTTTTAATCCTAGTCATAACCACTCAAAGCAAACTAAAAAATGAAAAACCAACCTCTTTAGTCAGGCGCTCACGTTCATTATGGTCATGATCTCGTTCATGAATCTGCTCCTGCAGCTTGGCAATTTCCCGCAAGAAGTCATCTCTCTCCTGTTCTCGTTCAGCTGCCTGCTCCTCCAGGAAGAGGCGTGTGGCTCGCAGCTGCTTATCTGCAGCCTCAACCTGCACAAAACACAACACGTACAGAAATGTTGGACAGATTTGTGGCAGATGTGGGCAAAATGTTGACAATCCCTCCCAATGTCAACTAAAATAACAGCATGTAAGACAGCATAGTGAATATACTGATGGCAGTCTTCTGGGTTGTAATGCCACGTGGACTTGTATGAAGATACCAACATTTCAGAGGAAAAAACTGCCTTTAATATCAGAGGCCCATAACTAGCATGTAAGCCAGTGTTGTAACCCATGATGATGCGGGTAGTGCTGCATAATATCAAAGCTAAAAGAAACATATATGCATTTTACTTTTGCCTCCCTTCAGAACCTCATGTTATTAATATTCAGTGATATGTCTGACAAAAGATTATTTCTTTCATGCCAGACCAACACCGACATATTCTCAGCTAAGCAGCCACACACAACAGCTGTAAATCCAAACAGCAAAACACAACATGCCACCTCACAAAGTGAAGATGTGTCAATATTATCTCCAAAATTATTTACCTCTTGACAGAAAACCTTGTGAATCTAGGGAGGAGTGTCTAATGAGACCTGGCAGAGAAACAAAGATACCAAAATGTACTCAAATTACTAATGATACTTCCCAATATTCTGTTATCCTTTCTCTAAACAATTTGTCAAATTGTGCTGACTAAAATAAAATCTGGGGTTGGTAGGAAGGTATAATCTCTTAAAAGATAAACCACAATGGCATTTCACATATATTCACAAAAAATGCTTCTGTCATTAGACAGACCACATCTACTAACTAACATTATTCACAGCAACAGTTCTTATTGGAAAAGTTAAAAAAGTACTTGCCTGTTGCTTTAAATCATCATGTTTCTTACGAGCTTCTTCTGACAGACGGTCACCTTCCTGGCACAATTCTTCGATCAGCTGGAGATGTGGGGACTTGTGATCACCAGCTGTCCTCTTACTTAGGACAGATCGAGCTACAAACATAATTTTTTTTCATTCTATAAAGGTTTGTAACAACTTGTTGATACACAACACAGTACAGTAATTGGAGAATTGTCTTTGGATTGCTGTCCACTGTCTGGACTGACAGTACATACAGCATTTCAAAAGCCAATTCACAATTTTAAAATATACGAAATCAGAACACGTCTTGCATTTGACAGTGTCTAAGGAACCAATTACTAAATCTTACAATCAATGGCATCTTAAAATTGAAGAAATATGATAATATCCTTCTTGTGCTGATATACATGTTTAACTAATTATGATATGGTTTTTAATTACAATGCTTGAGTACATTCACTTACAGATTCACTTAAGTTATAAATAACATCACACATAAGAGAAAATCAAAAAATAGTAATTTAATTCAAAGAAAAATATTTTAAACTTTTAAACTTGAAAGAATGCCTGTCTTCTTTTGCAGTTTATTTCATGATACATTTAGTAGCTCAGACAACATAGCACTGAATGACAGGACAGGTAATGAATAATTAATTGGAAGCAATGCTTCTATTCACAACTCTGAATTAACGTGAATGCTTTTTGTGCTAAATTGATCCTCTCGGGTATTGTAGCTAAAGATAAAAGCAAGATGTCACCCACCTTTATCTTGCAACTCAGCCATGTTGTGAAGCCTTCGTGTAAGACTAGGTTGAATGCTTTCACCAAATCCTTCTGTAACATCCTCCATCTTTCCAAGTTCAGATTCCAATTCTGTGACCCGCGTCCTTGCTGCTTTCAAATCTGACTCCAGGACTTCCTGCATAGTTTCCAGGCTTTTCAGATGATCCTGTAGGACAGCACGCTCTCTTTCCTTTCTCTGAGAATTTTCCAGCTGCATCATAAGCTCATCCTTTTCTTTTACCTCCATAGCCAGTTGGTTGGTCAGAATGTTCACCTTCTCCTCCAACAACATTACTGCATCTCGTGTAATTTGAACAGTTTTAGGCAAAGTGCCTGAGAGCCCAAGGACAGCAATTGCTTCAGCTTTCAATCTTTTCAAGCAGCTGTCAAGTTCTGATCGGAAATTCATGGACAGATCTTTGTTTCCCTCTATGCAATCTAACAAGTTGTCTTCATCAATAAGGCTGTTGATACTTGAAGCATCAGGAGCAAAATGAACCCTATGAGTTACATGGGCTGAACTGCTACTTTGTCTGATAGGTACAAGAGACTGATCAAGATGGTGTGATGCTATTGAGACCTCATCACAAGTGACTTGATCTTGTACCACTGATATGTCATTCTCTTGTGGGCTTGTTACAGTGGATTCTAATGAGAAGGTCTCTAAATTCTTAACGCTATTACTGCTACGTTTTGCTTCTGTGTTATTACCACATTCATTGTACATACTTTCAGTAACAGATGAAAATGCATGACCATTCACTTCAGATATGTTCTTTCTCAATTCCATGCTATTTTTAAATTCTTCTGGCTCAACCCTCAGCAATTCTCCAATAAGAGTACTATTCAGCTCATCTTCACAAACAGTAAAATATGCAACCAGTTCCCCCAACAAGCACCTCAAAGTGACAGTCATTTTCTTTAGATTATCTCTGTGAATAAATTATACATTGCAGTATGAATTATCAACAAAGTACAAATTTAGTTTATAATTAAAAAAAATAATGATAGTAGCAACCTGTAAACTGGTGAGAAGCATATGAAATACTATGACACATTTTTACAATCAAGTACAATAATACAGGTTTGAAAAAATGTGTTGAAGTTTATATGTGCCAGTACATACATTGTACTTTTAAATTTATGCAGCAAATTTCACATTAACTTAATATTTCTAACAATGGTATGTAGTCATAAGTACAAATATTAATTTTCTTGGACCCTTCCATCTTCTGGGTTCAGAACCGTTAAATTCAAAAAAATCTTACCATGCTAGACAATTAAAGAAAAATTGTTTATTACTGGGAATACATGTCCCACAAGCTACTAACATTTTAGGAAAGAAAATATTAAGTAACCTTAAAATGTTAAGAAAAGTATGGATTACAACGCACCATACCACACAATTGTGACAATTCTCAGTTCAATGCATAATAAGACTAATAAAAAGCATTACATAAACTAAACTACCTCAAAATAGACTAACCTATCTTCCTAACTTAATTTAGCATTACAAGTTACATGCATCTAACTGTTAATTTAACCCAATATGTTTTCCTTCATATTATAAAAATATGTTTGTAAATAAATCAGTAATACCACATTATCAGCAATAAACACTATCTTATGAAGATATGACAACAAATAACTTCGACCAAATATACCTTTCCTTGATCAACTGCTCCAGATCTGCATGGAGGATCGAGATAACATTCTCAGTTCCCTGATCTGAGCTACCTTCCAGCTTAATTTGCATTGCAATCTTACACTTCTCCAACTGAAATATAACACATGATTAAAAGATAAATTTAGAAATGTATAGTCTCTAATTTATTAATGGTATTCACCTTAATATTTAAATCTCTAGTTGGGAAACAAGACATAGAAGGGAAAATAACATTAAAATGGATCACAAGGAAATAAGAAGTGGAATATGTCAACAGGATTCAATCATACCAGGAAAAGGTCTGGAGGGATCCTTCTGCAGTGGCATTGTTCACATAAGAGAACTTGTAAGTTCTCGGTAGAAAACTGCTGTCCTACACAGCAGTGAAAAGTTAATAAAATGTAATTCAGGTAATATAACAATGGATTCTTCTTGGACAATCAGGCATGTGAGAATGGAGTAATGGGATGACCAACTGTACATGAACTTGGTTAGGGCAGGGATGACTGACTGCCTGACTCTGACACTGACCCATTTACAAACGAGGAGACAGAGCTCTGATAGCCAGCTGTAGGTATAAATACACATGCAGTCATACCACTCACCACATAAACTCTGATTATGGTGGTAGAGACAGTCCCTGAAATGTCCGATTACAACGCCACCTTCACATGACTGATCACCCAAGACAGCTTCATTACACTGTCGCCATAACAGCTTCAAATCTTACATAAAGTAGTTCAGTATTATGTTAAATACTAAGTAAAAACTGTTTATTTATACAAGCAGCACTCAATAAAGATGAAGGACCAAAAGGGGGGGGGAATCTCCATGCATTCTAAACTTCTGAAGAGATAGAGGTAAGAAGTCAGCCTCACATTCCAGTTACTTTAGCTCTGTGTGTAAAGTATGGGGGACAAATTTAATATGAGGCTAAGAAGGCAACACAGCCAATAAGAACCAATCAGAACATGATGGCAAAGAGAGAGTGCCTGCCCTGTCAGGAATCAAACCCTGGCTGTTCAGTCTGCAGCCATTCACTTTACTGCTAGAGCTATGTCACAAGCTAAAAGTCAACACAAAGTACAAGAAAGAGTTGATTCAATGGAAGTAATACAGGAGAATCACAGACAAAATTATCAGAAAACACACCTGAATGATCTGAAACTTCAACGACTGCAATTCCTGTACCATACTGTCTATGAAAGTGGTTTTGTTAGTAAAGTCGAATTCAACCTTCTGTGTTAGTAGTGCCATCTCCTGTTTTAAAAATTCATGTTACATAACAGTTATAGTGCACCAAGCTAAAATAACAGTGGATGCACAATTGCATGTAAGACCGTTTTTAAAAATAAGTTCACATTTCATTAACAGGTTAAAGAAAAGTACATATACGAATACAACAATGAAAAAATTGCTATAATTGTGATAGATGTAGCATCTTCACCACAGCTTTATATTGTCAAAAAATATAAAAATATATGTAAAAAAAATACAAGCAGTAAATAAGTACATGTGCAAACAATGAAACAATCTTTATGAAAAAATGTATGGAAAGGTCAGTGTGAACAAGTTTTTAAGAGATAAATGCACCACAGTAAGAATTCTGGAACACAATAATTCAGTACAAGCTCTGCCACATGTAAGTATAACAACATGCTGCAAACAATGGTATCTCACCTGTACCTCATGCTTTGTTGTTTCAGCAGCCATCTGTCCCTCCAGCACTGCAATGTCCTCACTGAACTTCTTTGTCAGAGACTGCAACTCTGTTTCATAATCAGCCTTTAATTGTGCCACTTCTTTAGCATGCTGTTCTTTCAGGATAACAATCTCTTGTTTATAATGAATTGCAAATTTCTCCTCAAGCTCAATTAATTCTTTTGGGCGAGGAGTATCCTTACAGTCATTTGACAGAAGGGCCTAAATAGGAACATGATACACAGTATTAATATGTCAATTTTAATTTCTTTCTGCTATTGGTTGCGCAAATTATCAAACCAAGCAAGCACAAATACAGCAACAGGACAAGCAAAAACATGTTCATTAAAAGCATACTTTAACCTTTTCCACGCTACAAAAGAGATTTATTGCTCAGAAGCACCAGCTACTTTTGCTCTGAATATCTTAATTGTTTGCTTATATCAATGATGCAATTTCATGCTACTTCAAACTGTTCTATATTTTCACAGATGTAAATACACAATCAAAGATATTAATTTCCAAAGCAAACTCATTATGGAAAGGGTCAATACATATATAATTGCCAAGCTACATAAAATACTGACCAAAAGTTCCAATGATCAGTGTTTTAATATTAAAAACAATAAAAAATTCTGCAATAAATGTTGAATACTAATAAAGCAATGTGAGAAAAAATTGAAGAACAAGTTCTAAAGTAATTACACACCAAAATTATCCAAGAGATGTTAATTCTGCACAGACATTAAAAACATTTTTCATCATTTACTTGGTATCTAAAGTATGTTAACTGAAATCTGATTTTAACTGTTAAAGCAGTAGCAGTGTACTGACTACTATGGATTATTATCCAAAGAGACAAGGAACATGCATGCAAAAAATTGGCAAAATTTGTCCAGTTGTTGATAAATGCAATGTTTTCCACTTATCCAATAAAAATTACACAGTATGAAAAAGATACTTAAAACTTCAATAATATGTAAATCTGAAGAATTCACTGATGGATGGAATAACACCCAGATTCCTGACCCTTCAGCTGTTAGAACTGCAATTATTGAAACAAGTGAGTCACAAAATATCAAATTATATAAAATGAATAGTCTCTAAGTATTTTTGTGCTATATTGAATTATAAAGATGAAAGAAAAGAATACATTTACTGAAGGTATAATGTACACCATAATGAAACACAGGGCTGATGCTAAGTGTTTCAGATCAAAGTTCACTTGAAACTATCTAAGGGGTGCTATCAGTTGTTGATACAAATAATCTCCAATACCATTACTCACTTCAATGTGTCATGAGACTCATAAAGTTAAAGACAAAGATGTAAATGTGTAGTGAGAAGAAGTGTAACTATCAAACTTGTGGTGTCAGAAGAAAATTTGCCATAAAATTTAGGGCCATGGTAAACCAGGACTATTTAATTAATACTCTGTATTTCAAGGAAAGAGAGTATTTTTAAATAAATATATGAACAAATTAAAACTTTTAAAGAAAACATAACAGGAAAAAGTCACATAATAATTTCCACTCTTTATTTCTATTTACATAAACACAAATATTGTGCACCTGCATGGAGAAATTTGAATGATGTTATGCAATATAAACGTGGCATAACAAAGGTCCATTCAACCATCAGAGGCAGAAGCATAATCCTAACTTTTCATCAGATTTGCATCTTATGTCACTTGTATGCAAACAAATAAATATATGAATATTTCACTGCAATCAAAGGAAGCATATTACATTTAAACTTGCATTTTAATAAATTCATATAATTATTTTTTTAGCCTGTAGGGTCTCAGAATGCTGGCACTGGGAGGGTTAAGAGCTGTCCACACCTGAAATCAGCTATGTAATTGCACCATGACCAACACCAAAAGAGAGAGACAACAGGAAGTACCTGTATTTGCTCTTCCAGAGATCTAGAAATGTCATGCTTTGCTTGTTCAACTTCATCATGCAGTCGTCTCTCACAGAGGGCTCTCACCTGGTCCAATTCACTTTCATGCATTTCCTTCATTTCTGCAATGGCGCTAGCAAACTTAGCATCCTACAGTGGCACACATATGGTCAAACAGTTAATCACTCTAGTGACACACATAACACATCAACCTAAGTCCCACCACACATGCATACCTATCAAATTTCAGTTCTGTCCAAAGGCTCTTCATTCATATAAACATAAACTGATTGTTCAGTATTTCAATGAATATCAAATAATAATTACATCGTACTGCTGTTCAGTATTCCAATGAATATCAAATAATAATTACATCGATTTCAAACATGAAAATTTAAACCAAATATTTACCTAGTTTAATTATGTACACATTTTACTTGCAAACAGGATTTTTATATTATGCAGTACCACACAGACTATTAAAATTTCTTGGGCTTTCACTTTGTATGTGATTACCAATATAGGTATGGGCTTAAGACTATGACCTATGACTTATGATTGCAACTGGAGCTCTTATTTTATAAACAGAATTGTGTAACATGATCAACATAATATAAGCAAATTAGTGAAAAATGACAAAACACATGAAGGAATGCTTGACGGATAATCAAATTATTGAAGGCACTGAAACATGAACTACAGTCAAAATGCCACCGTGTTACTGCAATCCAGCACAAAAGGAATACATGTTCTGTCAATTTAACTAACTCAGAATTTTGTCTCCCTGTGATATCACAAGAAATTATCAACAATCCCGGTTGTGTAGCTTTCAACTCAATTTTATAATGAATTAAAATTTGAACAGAAACGTTTTAATTCACAATTCACTATTTCTAAGCACAACTAGCTATAAAACATGTAATTTAAAAGTAAGTTATTAGATTAGTTATTCATCAAGAACATATATAAACAAATTAGCAATCATTATAACACAAAACACTAGGTACAGTGAACAAAATGTTATACACAGGCAACACATGAAAGGCATGAGTGAAAGACAGAGGACTACGTGAGTTGTATACAGAGTGCAAGATGTTCACTTTTTTAAATACCACTTGATAAGAATCACTACAAATGTATGTGACAAAATTATGTTCCATAAAATGTCTGAATGTGGCACTTGAAACCATGCTGTTCTTAATCTTATATATTTAAAAATTCAATAATTATTTGCAACAACTGGGTTGACATTGCTATTTATCTTCCAGCATTCTGTAAAACATTTGTAACTACACATTCTACAAATTTAAAATGGGTAGGAACTAAAAATCTTTCTGGCACAAAGAAAAGCTCACATTACATAATCTAATATTTATTCTAATTCTTTTATATTACTTTATGACAGCAACAGCAACAACTAAACTCAATACCCTGTCGTCACATTCCAGATTGTCCTCAGTTATATCATCTTCACTGGCCACAGAAACCTGATTTGAAGTACAAACTATTTTTAATAAAGATTCATAAGCTGTACCTTATCTTTGATTTTATATAACAAACAATTTTTAATAAAGATTCAAAAGCTGTACCTTATCTTTGATTTTATATTGTAAGTGCTGAATAGTGTGCAGTGTTGTCATTTCTCTGGCAGCTGCGGAGTCTAAGTCTGCAGTGCCATAAGTTTCATCTGCAGACACTGCTGATGTTGCTACATTCATCACTTGAACACGACATGTATTCTTCTCTTGTATGAACCTTGCAATTTCCTCTTGTAAAGCTCCAATCTCTTGTTTATGTTTATCTTTCAGCTGCTGAATTTGAACTTCCCATAATCTTTGACATTCTTCCTGAACTGCTTGAATAGATGCTTCATGTTGTATTTTCAATGCTTGAACATCCTGTTGATGTTGCCTTACAAAATCTGACATCATTTCCTTCTGATTTGTCATAAATTTATCCTGAAAATTATAATATTTCTTTCATTAACATGTATCGGTCCTATCAAAAATAAATGGTTTGTGTGTTATTTAATTATGCTGAAGCAACTGCATGGTTATATGGTTCTAAAGGTTTGTATTTTCTTTTAACCTTTTCAACTCTCCAAATAACAAAGACATAATGTTTTGAAGGCTGGGTTTTTCTCAAACTTCAGGTAGAAAGATAAGAGCCAAGAAAAGTTCCACTGGATAAAGCTACAGAGCCTTATGATAAGAACTAGCTTTATCAGTTTATCAAATGAGCCCCGCAGAGAAAGCATCTCTTCCTTTTACCAGAACAACAGACAGTGTCCAGGTTTAAAACACTCTCTCAAACTTTCCAACAGTTTTTAGCTATCTCTCAAACAATCACTACAGTCCTCTCTATGGTTTGAACAGTCCAATGGAATTATAATGTATGAATGCTATAAATTATTGCAACAAAGTGGGTTCATTCTGTTATAAAGTTTCAACCCAGTCTGAAATGAAGTAAATTAAAAAACATCTATCATATAGAATTTACATCTGATGTATGGGAAAATTTTGTTTTGCACAGGAGTGAAGGTTAAACAAACCTGTTCTTCTTCTGCACTTTTCTTCAATATAGCTGTAAGTTCATCAAATTGTTCTGTCATTAATTTTCTTTCAGCTTCAATAGTTGCCTCCAGTTCTTTGGCATACTTCTCTTGCATATGACTTCTCAATTCAGTTAACTTATTCTTGTACTCTTCCTCACATTGTTGTTTTACATCCATTTGAACTTTCTGTACCACATTAACCTAAATAAGAAGCCATCAACAATCTCATAATAATAAAACACACAAAACAGTAAAGAAATAAGAAGAAGAAGAAGAAGAAAAGGGCAGACAACAGATCCACAATTTATACATTTTTATTATTACATATTCTTTTAATGAAGGGCAATTTTTAAAACAATAGACAAAACTTTTGTTATCAGTTGAATACAAATAAAATGCTGTTAATTTAATTTGGAATTAAAAAATGTTACTGTAGTAATTCCTCATTTAATTTCTTATTACCACAGAACTATAAGAATCACATAAGGACCTTTGATAAGTAAAAGTAAATGTGCAATCTTGGTAACTCAGCCAGCAAAATAGTGCATTTCATACTTTCATATGCGCATGCACACACACACACACACACCATAGTAAACTCACTGCTGGTGGCTACGTGTATTCTTTTTTGTTCATCAAATATCCTACTTTGAAGCTTTATAACGAAATTAACTACAACCACAGGAGCACAATCATGTGTGTTATCATAACTTAACCTCACCTTTTGAAGAATCACATCAGTATTTGTTCTTCCGATTTTATCAACATGATCAGCAATTGAATCCTCAAGTTTCTGAATATGTTTAACATGTTTATTCAAAAGTTCAGACTGCATGGCTGCAACATGGTCTTCTTCCTCTTGTTTCATGTTGTATGTGAGACTTTCTATCTGCCTTTTTAACTCTTTTTCAAACATGTCCTTCATTCTTCCCAGTTCCTTTCTGTGCTCATCTGCCATTTCTTTCTGAACTTTTTGTATTTCATTTGTGCATTCTAGATGGACATTACTCAACTCCTTGGCAGACTCCAACTGTAACTTTTCTTTCAGATTCTGGATCTCTTTTGCATGTTTTAATTCTATATTCTGGATTTCTGTTTTATGAGTATTAGATAAATCCCTTACTAGGTCTTCTACCTTTGACTCATACTCCTCCCTCAACACTTCCATCTCATTCTGGTACTTAACTTCCATTTCCAGCTTGACTGACTCCAACTGATCTCGATATTCAACAAGACGTTTTTCAAAGTCTATTCGATAATGTTCTTCCAAATCCCTAGAAATATTTAAAATAATAAATTATATAAATTGAAAATCTGATAATTATTCATAACACCTGCCTACCTGGGCAGAAGATTCCATATTTTCTATCCTGTACCTGTAGCTACACTTTAAAACAAAATGTCTACATGTCTACTTTATTTACTTCTAATTTATTAATGACACTTTCAGTATCTCAGACTATACAGCATTAAATGAATATTGAATAATGAATTGGAAAGGGCATTGAAGGAAGTGGTCATGACCTAATTAAAGGCACTGTACCAGAATTTGCCTGGAGGGACTGAGGAAAACCACAAAAAACCTCAATCAGTATAAGTGATGTCCAAGCTGAGATTTGAACCTGGAACATCTTGAATATGAAGTAGGAGTGCTAACGACATGACCATGATGTTCGGTAACAAAATGCCACAAATTAAAAAATGTCAGTAATTTCCTATGACCTTTGATTTCAGCATTATTAGGGATGTGCAGACAGTTCAAAAATTGAAAACTTTGCTAACTATGTCAGTGTAGTGGTGACTGATACAATTTAAATAAAAAGTATGAGAAATAACATCTAATGTCAAAGCTAACCTGTACATGTGAAAACATTCAATTCTGGCTGAGAGTATTAAACTTTACAGATAAAAATTTTAAATCTCAGGAAATGTTAACTGCCACTTACAATGATCCACATTTGAAATCAAGTAGGATACTTTAACCTGATCACATCTACCACTTCACTTAACGGCCAGAAATAATTTCTAAAACTTTTTGAAATAATTACAAAATCAGTGATTCAGATTCAGTGAGAAAGAAATTTTAATTCATATACACTTGTTTGACACAATGAGTCATTTTGAGAAAACTGCTATAAATGTCTAAAATACCATGACACATGGACTTCCTCTAACAGTTCACTGTTATTCAGCTGGCCAAGAACTCCCCTACTGATACGTAATCATTATGCTGCACAAATAAATAAATGAAGTCTTACTTGAAACTTGGCTCCACACTGTAAGAGTCACAGATGTGTGTGAGAGCTGTCAGACGCTGACCGTGATCTCCCCCAGTATAGTACATGTCAGACACAAGTTCTTCATTTTCCAAGCCTGAGCTACTCCCAGAAAGTTTCCGGCTATGCTGACTAAACACTTCCTCCGAATAACTGAAACACAAATCAGTGTTAGCATATCTTGTGGTATGATGAAACAGACATCTGGAAACAAAAACACGTGCCAGGCAGGGTTTTTAAACTATTCTAAGGTTTCTGCTGGCATCAAACTAGGATATAATCAATCAGTTGCAGTACAATTTTAGAAACTATTACAGGACTTCGCGGGAACAACTAGAAAGAATGGAAGATTCATGTATTCCAAACACATTTCATAAACATCAACATCATACTTTAAATATTTTAGGTTAAAATCTTAAAATTATAGCTGAAACAATAACAGAGTAAAGGCTAATCCAGGTAGATAATACAAAATAAATGTTATCAAAAAAAGAGCAGAAAAACTATCAGTAGCATAAGAAGTTTGTTAAGATTAAAACAAATAAAGTTTGTTGCCACCAGCATGTATGCTACACATGGATGACAGATTCCTTTGACAGCTAAATATATGACCACTGGGAAGACCAAGGATGAAATTGAGAAATCTGGGGATAAGGAAAGGAACACAGATACAAAAAGAATGCTCACAGAAGGAGAGAGAAGAATGTTGGGAAGTTTATCATAAGACAACCTAACCTAACTAAAATATCAATGCATAATGACAATGATGGTATTAAAAAGTTAGGTTAAATAGTCTGTCTGGAAACATAAATAAATAAAATGCAATCAAATTATAGTCATCATTAAAGCCTACCACAAAGATTAGTACAACAGAGAACAAATGCCTGTTAATAAAATTCTATTCAATAGTGTATATTTATAATGAAGAAGCAGAAATATATAAAAATAATCACCAGTTGAAAATTGCATGTGTTAAGTGTATAGCTGAATGCAGTACTTTATTATGATTCAATTAAATGGGGAAAGTGAGAAAAGACAATCTCAGCCACAGATGATGATAGTATTAGTTCATTTTTAATTCATAAAATTTAAAAAGCATGTTGTTTAGCAACTTTCATGTAAATAAGACCACTTGGGAGACACAAGTGCAGTTAAATCAACATAAAAATGGACCTTAGGGACATGGGTCACAAGGTAGTAAATTGACTGAAATGGCTCTCAGGATAAGGTGCAGCTGTGGACTGTTATGTTGAAAGGGACAAACCTTGCAAGTTCTGTAATAAGGAATGTCTTAATCACTTGAATATCTACTGATATCCAAAGTTTTCCCTTTTCCATCAGTTAGTTAGTTAGTTAGGTACTTCATTCATCTTCCTGACTGGTTAGTTACAAAGTAACATTCCTTTACAGAACCTCCTAGACAAGTGGTTCTCAAATATGGCTGTCTTCTGGGTTGTAGTGCCACATTGCTTTGTACAAGATTTCCCTGATAATGGAGGCAGCAAGGATCTCTGAAATGCTGGTAAACTTCTACCAGACTACACAACACTATAACCCAGAAGACAGCCATCTTCATACTCACCACCATGATAACCTCAAATCCTAGCAAGTATAATTCTATATCAAATTTCAACTTTCCATTTCTTTGTGTGTACTTGATTCTAATAAATAATAATGCAAATGCAGACTGTAATATTGATGAAGTCAAATTACACAGAAAAGGAATGCTTTTATTAGAGTATTCAATATAAAACATTACCAATGTGCCTAACATGTGAGTATTTTGTGTAGAAGAGGGTGTTTCATATGCTACAATAAACTTGAGGACAAATGGATTTTATGGAAGAACAAGAAAATTAGTTCTCCTATTTCACAAACAAAATATAACAATGGGAATATACAATGATTATTAATCAAAAAAGGGAATCATAATAGTTTTTTATGTACTTAACTTGCACATACTGAACAAAAGAGAAAACAGGAAATTTAAATAGGTACATTAGAGCTAGGTCTTATCAATACATTTAAAAATCAAAATATTCATTCCTAAGAACACACATAAAAATGCAACAAAAATGCATACTTTTACACATACTTCAAAATGCACCAACAATACAAACTACCATGTCTGACAATCAGACATAAAAATAACAGGCACGAACTTACTGTTTCTCAACATCGGCACATTTCTGTTCAAAGTACTGACGTAGTTCTTCCATTTCCTTGGCATGTTTAGCCTCCATTTCCTGACGCAATTCTGTGAGGCCAGAAATGCTGCCACATTTCACATTTGCTATGAGATCACGCAACTTTGCCACTTCGACACTGTGCTCATGGGATAGCAAGTCCACAGCCAGTCTACATGTAGTGAGAGGTGCAAATATCAAACTACTTCATGTAATATCAGATGGTCTAATGCAAAACAAAACCATATTCTGTATTCATACACTATTGTACTTACTTACACAATCCATGCATTTATCATGGCAGTTTTCAATATGTTCCAATGTGGCTATGTGCTATTTCATAACACCAAAACTATTTGACTTCATTACCTGAATTCATTCAATGTTGAATAATGAAGCAAATTATACAATTCTGGTCCATAGGATATTTAACAATGCTAACATTATTTAGCATCAAAAGATATTATTACGATTATACATGATGAACTGAAAAGGAAGAAGGCTAACTTCAAATAATAAGTAAAAACCAAGGCTAACATCAAATAATAAGTAAAAAGTTTGCCTGGAACAACTAAGTAAAATCAATAAATAATTTCAGCCCATTCAATCAATGCCGTCTGAGATACAAATCCCCTGAATTTAAGTCACACAAAATACTATGCTTTCAAGCTGCTTGGTACAGGAAGAATTTACTCAGCTGGCTCATTATGGTAAATACTCTTTCTCTCTGTCATATTTTCATTTCTTAAGGAATGACTATAATTGGTCAATGTACTAAAAATATCCACTGTCATCTAAGTCAATGTCATAGGGTCTTTATAGAAAAACTGATAGTTATTAAACTGATAAAAAAATCCCTGTTTTTGTGGAACCAAAAGACTCATTACAGCATTCACAAATGCCTGTCACTGGACCATATCTGAAGTCAGTCAAACCTAATCCACACCTGTACATTCTGTTCACCTCATCAATTTTAATATTATCCCCAATCTATGCTTAGGTCTCCAATACTGATACCCAGCCACCATCCTGTTCAAAACACTATTTGGAAATTCTGACTTACATACAGCATATTACATATTTTACCTTCAGAAAGTATTGAAGTAATGACAATTTTCATAAAAGTATTGAAATTTCAGCCAACCCAAAATGAAATGGTTAAAAAGTAAATAATCATAGTTTTGTTTTGTTATGACTTTAAACACAAATTAGATTCTGGTTCTGAAATTATTTATTATAAAGTAATAATCAGCAACAGTATGATCTGAAGCTTTCACAGAAACTAACATTAATAAAATCTTTCTGGGCTATCAGCTGAATCAATTTGTTAAAAACTGACATTCCCCATCATCAGGATATGATGTCATCAAATCCTGAAATAATAATAGTACTTTTCACTGTCGATTACAATACAAAGTACCATTAATTCTATAACACACAACAGGTTGCTTTCCTATCATTTAAATCCTGAAATATCAATTTTTTATGAACTGATACAGCTCACAGCCCGGATGATGTTATTAATCAGCAGTTGCATATAGAAAACAAGATATGAAAAATCAGTTTTAAAAAAAGTAACTGCTACTGTGAAATTTTATGCTGACTGGTGTATATGCATTTCACAGTGCTTCTATTGCCTATCTTTTCTTTCACAGTACAAGCATGATAGCTAAGGCAAGAATTGTGCAAATAAATATGGCAGTTCTTCATGCCAGCATAAAACATTACAAAAATAAATATATATACAAACAGCAATGCATGAAGCTGTAGTTATAAATCATGCTATACAGCAGCACAGAAGCTTTGAATATGCAAAAGCAAAATTAAAGGTAAAGCTGCCACAGATAAAATAAGCAAAACATACTAAAAAACATTACTTCCTTTCTCTGCTGCAAAAGTATGCAAGATGTTCATTCACATTAGAGACCTACTTGTGTTTGTCTTGGAGCTCTTCCTTCTCTGCAGTCAATTTGCTTATCTGATCTTGTAGACTTGCTATTGTTGTTCCTTCTTGGACAGTTCTTTTCATGTGTTCAACTTTCTCTACAAGCTTGGAATGTTCAGCATCTAACTGAGTTTGCAGACTATGCAATGCTCCCATGTGACGCTTTGCCACTTCTGTGTGTAAAACTGCTTACAGAGAAACAAGATGCAAATACAAGTGACAAACTGATTCCTAGGCTATTCAATGATACAATTTCAACTGCACAGCATCAAATAAAATGGAGGCATAGTCATAAACAGACAGTAGGTAACAATTTATTTGTTGGAGTAACTGTGGTCTATTTCAAGGCAAGCTATTATCTTAACAACCACACAAAGAAACAGGGAAATCATAAAAACATGTCAGGAGTCAGCTATCTAGCCAAGATTTTAACAGGGTAACCCACAAACCTTTAATAATATATGACCCATTCAAAGATCTTTATCAGCAAATAAATAAATACTAAAATCTGAGGGATATGTAATATCACAAAGAATTTATTTTAAAAATGCTGCACCCTCTTGTCTTTTAAACAAATTAGATTTGAATGCAGGTCTAAGTTGACTCCAGGCACTACACAGCTTCAGTTAGTTACTTTATTTTGCTGTAAGATGAGAATCTATTAACAAAAAATAAATACACAGTCAAAATATGTCTACAGCAAATGAAGAGTTACTGACAAATAGCAAGCAGTAAAATTTATAATTTCTGACATAAATCACTAATGATGGACAAATGCATCTTTCATCAACACAGCAGATTCTAAACAATCATTAGTTGAATTATAATTTATTAAAATATATGTGTTCTTCGCTCTGTCGACTGGACTCGGCACAAAACTAGTTCTCCAGTTACCTGGGCATCAGTGTGTTCAGGTACAGTAACAACTAAGTAATCAAGCATTAAACATTTATGAGCAAAAAAACACATTAATGTATCAGAGACAAAGCAGTTTGGTCACATTATTCCTAATTTTCACAGTCACTTGTACAGTGCAGTGATAACCAAATTTTGAAGAGCAACAGCAACACAGAAAATAGATAAGAAACCCAAATTTACCTTCTGCCTGTGCAAGTAGTTGTTCTTTGCCCTCAAGGAGCCTCCTAATGTCAATATGAGTTACAGATATTTTTCCTGGACCATCAGCATCTGACTGCTGACATTGTGACTCCTCTTGCTGCCACACCTCATAAATTTGCCTGTTCAGAGCCTCCAGTTGTTCCTGACAATCACTGTACCAGGTTTGAACCCATCCCTGAAACATGTCACAGATGACCTAATTTCTTCTGCATAACCTACATTACAGCTGACAAATTGATTTTAACCTATAAGAAAAATACTTTATATATTAAATCATTTATGAAATAAGAAACAGACCAAGTCTGTGAAAGCCAAAATCAGAATACAACAATACAGACCTGAGTTTTTAACAGTAGTCCATAATTGCTAAATCAGATCCCTACTCGCTCACATTTTCCTTAAGTCTGGTTCTTTAATTTGAAAAACCTAAGAAATCTAACCTTAAGAGTTGATGTGTATTCCATGCACATTTCTTGTTTCAACTGGTGCACACTGCTTCGACTCGACTTGCCATCATGTGGTCGTTTGAGCAATGAAATTTCTAATTTTAACCCTTTTGTTACCTCATTCAGTTCATCATTGTGCTTTTTATTTAAATCCTGAAACAAATAAGAAAATAATATATATTTCCACCACGTGGATACTTCCAGATCATATTAACAACAACATTTATTACAATAATTTGTTACTTAATTCAGGCTAAAACTATTCCTAAAGGAAGGTAAGAAGCTTGTGTGTATGATTAGAAATGTATACAACATACAAAAACACCACAAAATATGAACTCAATCTACTTGACTGCAGTAAGGGTATACTGCTCAGACAAAATTAGGTACACTACATCATGATAAGGAAGACATTGAGATACAATCATGTAGGTAACAGTATCAGAGATAGAGTATGAGAATTCTTTTATAACTAACAATATGAGAAACTTGATCACAGTTACATTACCTGGCGAAGCAGCAGGAGTTCCTCCTGCCTCTGACTTTCCAATTTTGCTTGCAAAACTTTCAGTTCTTCTGTATGTTTCATGATGAGGTTGGAAACTCTCTGTTGGTGGACTGACTCATGTTCATGCTTTCAAAAGATAATGAATGAAAAACATTATTTTACACGTATCTTCAAAGTATAAAATATTAGTCTCAGAAAAGATAGAAAGATTACATACCTGGATAACTTTCAAGGCTATGGCAATCTGTTGTTCAGCAAACTTATCAAACTTCTGTTTCAACACACTGTATATTTCAGTATGATGCTCATCAAAGTTGTTCTTCATATTATCCAGTTCATTTCTTTGCTTTTCCTGTTAAAAGAATCAATGACATTCTTACTGCACTTTCCACACAAGTAGATAAATTAAAGCATCAAGAATTCATGTCAGGGATTACAAACGAATAAATGCTCTCAACACAGCACTCCAACATTCCACTCAAACAGCATTAATTACTTCAATCTGAACAGTTCAATACACAACAACATATACCACCATAAAACTGTAAATACCACTCAGGTGACTAGCACAAATACACAAACACAAAATGGAAGGTGCTAAATCAAAGTGCATATAAATATGAAAGTATTATGTTGACAGCATTTTGTAATTTGTATAGTTCAAAACACAATTGTATGTTCCATTACAACACATCAAAATAGCTTCCTAAGTGAACATTCATCAGACTCCTAAGTACCATATCTATTAATAACAATATAGAATTGCAAAACTCTACACTGAAGACAATGGAGTTTCTTCCACCTCAAAATTCTGCAACAAAAGTATGCCACCTGGATGTTTGTCAATAATATGGACTTAATTCCACATTTCATGGGTTCAATACTTAATATATCAGGACACAAGCATTGAAATGGTGTTCTCATTAAGCCTTCCTTCCCATTTGGAAGCAGCATTTTTAACCACAATTTCAGATTACTCCATCAACAATTTTTGAATCCATAGCAAATTCAAACTTTTATTAAGTGTGTGTGTGTGTGTGTAATGAAAGCATGGTGATACTCCCATAGCCAGAGCAAATGGAGAAGAAAAATGTTCAGAACTTCGATACAGGTACAGTTATTCTTAAACAATTTAAATATTATTTTTACCTTTCAGATTAAAATTAAATGCTTGAAAATTATGAACATCCTGTAACTTTGCAATTTGCTACACAAAGCGGTTTTTTCAAATATCTGACAGCCATTCTAATGAGAACATTAAAGTTGAGTACCAGTGTGTTACTTATTATAGACAATCATAAAATCACCTTTATTGCAGCCATTCCTTCTGCCTCCAGTCTTGTGACTAGATTTTGACTGATGCCAAGCTGACTGTGCAGTTCAGAGTTCAGGAGTGCCTCCACCTCTTTTGCCTTTGCATCCAGCTGCTGCTGTATACTCATAAGCTAGAAACGTATGCCAGTAAATTCATTAACTCAAATGAAACTTCAGATCACATACTGTGCATCTACAAGAGCTGAAAAAAGTTTTCTTCAGTGAAGTAAAGTGAAACAATACGGTACAGAGTGTGTAAAAATATTAGCTTGCTGCCCGATTCATCAGTCTAGAAATGTAATTGTGCACTGGTCATGTACTTACTCTGTGGTCTATTGCACTATGCATCATAACATTACTGCCATAAGACCAACAGCCTATACAAATACCAAACAGATCATATATATAGCTGCAGCAACCGTTTAGGGAACTAAGTAATTTTGTAAAAACAGAAAAGATGAAGCAATAAAATGCAAAAAATTTCTTAATTTTCTTCTTCTGACTCATTCCCATTTTTGTGTGTTCATGGAGAATTTCTAAATACTATATCTATATACACTAAACATACTGCAAGTATAGAGGAAGTTCAACAAAAACCTGCCAGAGAGTGATTCCTAGAGTTCTGTTTGGCCAAATTATACTGATAACACATGCCTTGAGACATGCATTCCATTGAGTTACCAAATCCTGATGTCTTTCCTGCAGTATTCTGCAGTCTGCACTTAAAAGGTATCATACATTGTCAGCTGTACTTCAGTGTCCAGCATCAGCTGTGGTCCATTAAATGAAAATAGGAAGATGAGAGGTATGCACTGTATAGAAAATGTTTAACATCTTGTAATAAACTGAAGAGTCATTAGACTTCATGGTCCTTACATGCAAATGATACGCTATGGCCAGGTTTCTAATAAACCTTGACCAATGTGAATCACCCTCAGGCAGGATTCTGTATCTATAATTATGGTAACCGAACAAGGCTCAGTAGAATGCTCACAATCTGACAGTCTGGGCCAGAAGAGCACAGCTTCTTTTATAAAAATACATAAAACCAATCAATTTTTAAATAAAAAAATGTTTATTCCCAATATGTATAATTATTTACAAAATCAGTCTTTAAGCCTGAGCCATAAAAGTGCCTTAAACAAATTGTGAAAAGCAGAAAACAAAATGAATTACACAACATTAGCCCAAGCCGTGGTGGACTTCTGGGTTGCTGTGCCATGTAGCACTTTAGCTGTGCCATCATTTTGAAGGAACATTGTGCCTCCATCTTTAGGGCTAAGTTCTGTCCTGAAGGTGGAGGAACATGTTCCTCAGAAATTCCAGCACACAGCCAAAATGCAACATAGCACAATAACCAAGATATCACCATCTATATTCACATTACTGTGAAAACCTCAAATCCTACAATATTAGCACCAACCTATGCCAAGGCTTAAAAGATAGATGGATTATCTGTAAATTAAAAATTTAAGCTGGCAACAGTTCTGACCCAGACTACACTTTACATTAAACATTGACCTTAACAGTAAAAATGTACAGTTACCATGTATAACCTTATTCTGACACAGCACAGAATGTATAAGTTACAAATCGAAAATAATGCATGAGTTCACTAAATATATGGTTTTATGTTCCATGTCATCTCATACAGTTAAAATTAATCTGAGTATCTTTACTGTCAGAATCAAACTACTGTAAAAAGTAAATTAAACTACATAAATACTGTTCTAAAAAAAATTACACATGATTCCAACCCTTACAAATACCCCTTCTTTTATCTCTCTTAAAGCAAGCCTATGGCATGCACTTTTGATACAAACCAATAAATGCATAATAATATATAATCAATTATTTTAAATTAAGCAGGAATTATGAATTCTAACCCCTTTCCTGAAATAAAACTCATATGCCATTTCCAGAGCTCATGGAAGAAACAATTGGAAAGTCTCAAAGAATAACACTAGGATCAAGCACAGCAAACCATAGACAACTTATGACTAACTTAAATTAAAACTCGAAGCTATGTTTTAGAAAACTTGCATTTAAAATAAGTCTCAAACATATCAGAAGTAATATGAAATATCATTTGAAACATGTCTGCCTGATTAAAAACAAATTTCTTAACATTAATACTGCATCTGTGAAGTCAGGTACATCTATTAACCAACATCTTAACATTTACAAAAGTTAATTTTCTTTACCTTGTAAAAAAATATTGGGTATTGTGACTTTTTAACACCAACATTTTCCAGCAGAGTATTACTGAAAATACTGGAGATGAAAGAGTTAACAGTAATCATGTTTCAAACATGTAAAATAGCCTCCAAGAGATCAATCACTTCTGACATTAACCTTCAAGTCAAAGTTTTAATACTAAGTGTACTTTGTAAGGAGATGGCAGAGTGTATCTTCTCTGCTTGCCAACCACTTGTAAACAAAGTTGCTCACATACACTTGCCATAAAATGGTGAATGACTCTAAGGTAAGAATATCATGGGGAAAATGTCCAAAAAATAAACACTTTTCTCAAATATAGGACTATATATCAAGTAGAATTACTGCTGCAGAGAAAATACTACACACAGTTCATTGTTCATTCCACTTCGTCTTCAGTTATTTGAACCACAATATTTCACACTACATGGGCACCTCATATATCATTTTTGGAAACTGTTACTGCAAAACCTCAATGACTTTACAGTCACACTATATGGGCACCTCATACATCATTTTTGGAAACTCTTACTGCAAAACCTCAATGACTTTACAGGCTATGAGACTGCTGTCACAGTCAAGAAATAACAAGTAAATATTAATAGTACAGAAATAAAATATCATTTTACAAACATCAGAACATTTTTCGTAATTCAGATTTTTCTCAATGCAGGCAACCCTAGTTGTTTTATAAACATCAGAACATTTTTCGTAATTCTAATTTTTCTCAATGCAGGCAACCCTAGTTACAACATATACAATACTTTATCAGTTCTAGTTGTATAAATAAATAAGTGTAAAACTCTCTGGTCAAAAGTCAATGTCAAATGCCATGACAGACCATCATAATAGGAACCTGCTTCTCAAGGATGGAGAGACAACTTGTAAGCAAAAATGCATCACACAATGGAATGGATCCGTTAAAGAAACCTCAGAAATACATCAGTAACTACATAGGAACCTGATATTACAATGGCAGTTTCAGAATTCAGTTCTTTTTATAGCTACTACATACACAACCACACGTCATTATTACGGAGAACTATAAAAATACCTCAAATTCATATAAATTAATAATCATTATCACAGTAAGATTTCTAATATTACATATGTCAAATACAAGGCCCGCTATTTACTGGAGTTCTGCGTTCTTAGACAGTGACATGAGAACAGGGCATAGAAAACTACGAAACACCTAACCCTGAGACCTGAAATTCAGATTCAGTATATAGTATATGAGGTAAAATAATGTACAGACACCTCAAAGAGACCAATATAGATATTCTAAAAAAAATACAACTTAATTGGGAAACCTACTTATAATCCCATATTAGTACAAAATACTGACTCCATTAAGAGCTACAGAAAATCCAAATTGCATAATTTATTTCATCTGTGATGGTGGAATAGGCAGCATGCCATTCAGTGCCATACCTCACCAAATTCAAATTCCATTTTTCAAAACTGAGTACTTTAGACTTCTCTCTTAAATAGTTATGTATTAGTAAATATGACTTTGTCCCTGGTTTTCATAAGTGAGGTTACAAAAAGAAAGTATTCTTACAATAAAACTAAAACTGAGTTCAGTAATTTACCATGACATCCAGCCAAGGAGTTGTAAATTAACACACATACCCCACTCACACCCTCATCCTCAAGTATGACCACACAGGAAAACACATACTTTTCTGGTTGAAATCTGTGTACAGCACAACCAAGATTAATTTCTCCTGAAATCATGTTTCAAAATACACGCATGTCTTGCATCTGACATCACATAAATATGGCAGTCTTGTATATTGTGTACCTATTAGTAAATACCAAAGTATATATGTGTCATGGCACAGACATAGCTGCATTTACCTGTTCTGTGTGCTGCTGCTTAAGTGTATGCACTTCTGACATGAAATTCTTCTGCAGTTCTGTCTCACGTATAGTAAACTGCTCCTCCAAATAAAGTTTAAGGCGAGCTACAGCTTGCTTGTGCACCTCTTCCAGTTGGGAACGCATCAACTCTAACCTCTCCTGTTCACCAGTGTTATCACTCTCAACTGTGGATTGGTCTGACTGCTGATCAAAGCCTTCCAGAGTCCTTGCAGAGCTTACTTCAACCTATGACAAATAAATTAATGCAACGAAACTGCAAACAGGCAAGGTCCTGAGAACTTTGTTCTCCCATCTGAATTACAAAGTACTCTTACAATTTAATGATCAGCAGTTTCAGAGGTCCTTGAGAGGACCTCATGTTTCTGCTGACCGAATGCTAGCTGATAAAAGAAGAGCAGTGGAACTCCGGCTGTAAAAATATCCCTCTACATTGCTCAGTACTACTGAGCAAGGAGGCTAAGTCATCAGCACTCCTGCTTAATACTAATGAAGTACCTGGTTTAAATCTTTACCTAGAGACTAGGTATCTTGAAATATATTTTCTGCAGTTCTACTTCCAGTACAGTACCCTAAACCAGGTCATGACCACCTCCTTGCATATCCTTTCTAATTTATTAATCAACCTAACATCTGATGGTATATAGTCTCAGCCACTGACAGCATTGTTAAATAAACAAAAAATGGAATTTTGAACTACACACTTGCTTGGCCCTGAGTTCCAGTTGCCAGTGCCGGATACGCAAATCACGGTCACGTATCTCAGCCTCCAATGCCAACTTCTGTGTCTGTAGTCGGTCTTCTTGGTCACGTAGTCGGTCCTCAATCTCATGAAGATCCTGCTCCAACAAGCGTTTCTGGCGTGTTAGCTCCTAAGATAACACACCAAATTGCAATATAGAGAAACATACTAAGCAGGGTCTTCGGAACTTTGTTTATTTACTTACTGAATTCAGCATGCTAACAGAAAGCAAACAGACAGACTTCCAAAACTATTAAAATATTACAAACTACATAGATTAAGAACCCAAGAAGAATTTTCAAGAGGCTGTGCGATGAATAAGTCTGGAATGGGCAATGAGTCACCTAACTCCTTGACGTAGGATGGTGTCAAATCTTCACATACTACTACCGCAGAGTCAGTTAATTAACAAACGCAATAATCAACTTACCTGGAAAATGTTATCTTTTTCTAGCATTTGATGTTCCATCATCTGTATCTTGAGCTGTGCACTCTTCAGTTCTTCTCTCTCATTTTCCAACATTATCTTGATCACATTCATCTCCTAATTCAAAATTAAACGTATTCATATTCAAGCACAATGTAGTATGCAAAAAATGTTAAAGGAACTGGCTACAGGCTGGATGGCCAGGGTCAAAATCCCAACAGGTTTATTTCCCCTATCTTTTAATCACTTCCAGACCAGCTCTGCCCCCACATGCCATGTCCAACAGCCAGAGTTTTGACCTTGGTATAATACTAAGAAGAAGAAGAAGAAGAAGAAGAAGAAAAATGAGGTGTCTGTCTCCTCTTCCCCATATCTCAGTAAGATGACAAGTTTATTTACAGCTTAAGATTAACAGGTGTCTCTCTCCTCTTCCCTATATCTCAGTGAGATGACAAGTTTATTTACAGCTTAAGAAATGAGAAGGTTTTTTATGTATCATGAAGGGAAAAAGGCCACACCAAAATAGATGTGGTCTAAGATTTTTAATGTATCATGAAGGGGAAAAGGCCACACCAAAATAGATGTGGTCCATTTCCAAACATTCACCTGGAGGAACTGACAAAACCTTTCATTTGTGGTTAGCTTAAGAATAGGTGAACACCCTTATTTCAAAAACAAAGATAACTATGACTTAAATGTAGTTGTCACATCAAGACCAGTCTTCAAGAACACCACAGATTTTTATACAATTCTACATTTTACACAAATGTAACTGATGCAGGCACTATAAGAATTAAATATGATAGAGATGATGAAATACAGACTCAAATTGTTCTACACTACTAACCTAGATGCTCTGTGAAGTGTTACCAAAGCTTCACAGAAAATGCACCGGTCTTCTTAAGAAATAACAAATATGCAAAAGTAAAACATGTGATCAAGATGTTTAAATCCAAATTAAAAGCATTAAAGTTTGATTTATGTATTAACCCACCTCAAACTTTTGCAATAATTCATGTTTCTGCCTGTATAATGTTTCCTGTAAAACTCCTGTGGAACCCACAAGTTCTGCCAGGCTTGTGTGCTGTTCTCGATATGCTCGCAATTCAGCCATCAAGTCACTCTGCTGCTTGTCCAGATTTGACATCCAACTTTCTACCTGCTCATATCCTCCAGCCCGCTGAATTATGTGAAAAAATTAGATTAATAATGCTTACCTATTTTGGGCATACAAACAAAACTAACAGATGTATACAAATTACAAATATTACAGATGAAGTTTCTACACAACACTAAGAAATGAATAGAACTCAAATCAGAACAATGAGTTTCCACATAAGAAATCTGTACTATATGGCCATATTTCAGAACAAATTCTGTACTGCAGGAGGGAGTCAAGGGCATTCATTTTCTTTTATAAAATATACCTGCAACATTCCAACATACTGTTGTTGATTCTTAAGTTTGTCAAGAAGAGACTCTTTCTCAGCAACCAACTCTGTGTTGCTCCGGAGAATGAGTTCCAGCTTATGTTGTAATTCAAGCATGCCACTGTCACTACTGGCATTGCTGTTAACATCTGTCACTCCCGAATGAACTGCTGCACTATCACTCTTCTGAACCATTTCCAGTTCCAAAGTAAGTTTCTCATTATGATTTTTCTCATCCTCCAGGGAACTTTTCAGAGTTTCAACTTCAATTTCAAGTTCTTTTAACATACTGTGCAATTCCTCCTGTGATGATGCTGGAAATTAATACATTAATATTTAAATTACAAGTTAAAATTAAAAAGGACACAGATACACATCTTACTAAAAAAATATCAATAAAGCAATCTGTCAATCAGTTCTTGAAAATGGTAATTGTCAAGTTCTCTGAAACACTCATAAAGAAGTCTACTACATCACCCAATAATGAACAGATGAGATCAAACAAACCACAGTAAAGTCCTTGGCTTCAATAATTATAAGCTCTTTGTCTTCATATTCATTTCCATTTACTTCACTATCTGATCAAACATTCATCTGTAACTCTGCATTTGAAATGAAATGAAAAGTGACTCACTACAGACAGGAGTGATTTCAGTGTGACCCGTCTTCATCTGCAACAGTCGGCTCCTGCTAGACTCACACTGCTCCTTCTGCATGCATAGCACAGCAAGTTGCTTCCTACAAGCTCCTAGTTCTTCTTTGGTAGCATTATGCTGTTTCCATGATTCTTCAAGTTCAGAACGGACCCTAGCCAATTCTTCATGGTACAAATTAATTTTCTTTGCATATTCTCCTTTAGACTTCTCTAAAATTAGTATTTTCTCATTTAACAACTGTAAAGTTTGTTCTTGTGACCTCATTTTCTCCTTCAAAAATACAACCTCTTTTGCTTTATTTCCAAGATCAAGAAATAAATTTTCTATTGCAGTACAATTTTTCTCATCAATAACGTTTTCAAGCCTTTGTTTTACAAGCTGCAATCTGTCTTCAGTTGCAATTTTTTCCTTTGCTAGTTCAGTATTTAGTGTTGTCTGCAAATTACGAAATGTTGTATTTTCATGTTCCAGGTCAACAACCTTTGATTCAAGGTAACTTTTTTCTTCAAGAATAGTATCCCTCTCTATTCTAACCTTCTCTAATTGCAATAATTTATCCTCTAGCTCCTTACAGTGCAACTTGGCAACACTGCTTTCTTTAATATATAGGAGTTCCTGAAGTTCCTTCAAGCTCCTTACAGTGCAACTTGGCCACACTGCTTTCTTCAATATATAGGAGTTCCTGAAGTTCCTTCTCCTGAAATTTTGACTCCAAAGTTTCAAGTTGATTTGCTAATTCTATTTTCTCTCTTTCAAAAACAATTAACTTTTCTAACAATTTTGATGAACAGAATGATGAAACAGGCTCTGGCACATTCATAGTACTTCTTTTCCGTCTTTTCAATGGCCCACTATCAGAAATCTGATCTCCATCTTCACTGTAATTTACAACTTCAGTATTGTCAAAACTGCTTGTAACATCTTGACCACTGCTGACAATGGATTCAGTCACACTAGCACACTCCAA